GTGGAGAATATGTGTCGACCTCATTATTATTACTGTTACTGTACTATTATTATTACTGGATTAGTTCGTATTATGTATGGCGTTTACACGCATGTCGGTCACTCTGGTTTTACTGCGGATATCCTCATTTCTGAGTCTATCACGCAGTGAAACTCCGAGCATAGCCCTCTCCATAGCTCGCTGAGCGACCTTGAGCGTCCTCATACGGCCAGCGGTGAAGGACCACGTCTCAGATCCGTAAGTCATCACTGGCAACACGCACTGGTTATACACTTTAGTTTTCAGAGATTGAGGTTTACCTGACGAGAAGATGTGTCGTAATTTCCCGAACACTGCCCAGCCGAGTTGAATCCGTCGATTGATCTCTCGGTCGAAGTTGGACTTACCTAGTCGGACTATTTGTCCCAGGTAAACGTACTCGTCAACAACATCGAGCATAGTGCTTCCAACAACTACCGGCATGATCTTTGTTTTGTCCATGTGTTCATCTTAAGACCTATCCGTTGGGAGACACCATTGAGGTCATTGGGCATAGTGCTAAGGTCCTCCAGCGATTCTGCCATAAGGACTATATCGTCGGCAAATCGAAGGTGAGTGATGTACTCGCCATTGATGTTAATACCGTATCCTTTCCAGTCCAGTAGCTTGAAAACGTCTTCCAACGCAGTGGTGAAGAGTTTCGGGGATATAACATCACCCTGTCTTACACCTCTCTGCAGTTGGATAGGTTTCGTACTCTGGTTCTGTACTCGGATAGCCATCGTAGCGTACAAACACTTCAGCACTTCAATATACCGACAGTCAACTAAGCACCGCTGAAGAGACTGTAGCACTGCCCAAATTTCGACGGAATCAAAGGCTTTCTCATAGTCCACATACGCCAGGCAAAGTGGCAGATTGTACTCTTCGGACTTCTGTACAATTTGCCGAAGGGTATGTATGTGGTCTATGGTACTGAAGCTTTTTCGGAAACCGGCTTGTTCGGGAGGCTGGAAGTCGTCGAGTCTGCGTGCGAGACGATTCGTAATGACTCTCGAAAACGGCACGTTGTCGTGGCTCAGAAGGGAAATCGGTCTGCAGTTCTTCAAGTGAGCGTTGTCGCCTTTCTTAAAGAACAAGACCACCGCGCTTCTGCTCCACGCCTCCGGAGTAGGGCCACCATGGAGGACGGAATTGAAGAGCTTCTGAAGGACTTCAAGTACCGGTGTTTCACCCGCTTTCAGAAGCTCCGCTGTAATTCCATCCTCGCCCGGGGCCTTGCCGTTTTTAAGGTGGTGGAGAGCCATTCTAATCTCGCTCAGACTGACGTCTGGGATATCATCGGAATAGTGTCGGATAAGACTTGCTCTTGGATCGTTACTCACACTTGCGTGTGGCTCTAACGATGATGTGTACAGCTGCCCATAGAACCTCTCAATCTCACTCATAATCTCAGGTGTCCCGGAAACGATACTGCCACACTCAGTCTTCCGCCTTGACAGTTGGCTCTTTCTGGCAGACAGATCTCTGGCAAAGACTTTGGAGCCCTGGTTCCGCTCGATCGCTTCTTTAATACGAGCAGTATTAAAGTTGCGTAAGTCTCGCCGCATGCATTTGGAGATCTGTCTGTTCAGTTGCCTGTATGCTGTCAAATCTGTTGACGACTGCAGCCTCATCTCCCGTCTAACAGCCATGAGATTAAGAGTGTGATCGGAGAGTTTTTGTGTTCTGCGGCGGGTCTTGCAGAACTTAGCTCCGACCGCATGGACAGTTTCCACGAGCTTGTCATTCATATCGTCCACTGCATTGCAATCCTCTAGGCACTGAAAGCGGTTTTGTAACTCGAGCTGAAAGGTTGACGGCGGAAGTTCGGGATTCTGGATTAGAGCACGAGGGGGACGGAGCGTTGACTTCATTAGACAAGACCTCTCCAACTTAACATTTTGGTTCAGTGTGCCTCTAACCATTCGGTGATCGCTGCCAGTTTTCACCCTTGCGATCACTGAGACATCACTGAACAGTTGGCGTCTGGTCGTCATAATGAAGTCAATCTCATTTTTTGTCGAACCGTTGGGACCCCTACTTCCTGTGGGGCCGCTTCTGGAAGAAAGAGTTTATCATAAAGAATCCCTCTTTCTCCATAAAGTCGGCCAGCTGCTGGCCCCTTCGGTTCCGTTGCCCTACTCCAAATTTCCCTAACTTCAGCTCACCGTTTTCTCTTGTGCCTAGTTTTGCGTTGAAGTCTCCCATCAACACCGTGTAGTGGGTTTTTGGAGGAATGCATGGCTTTGGAAATATCCTCATACATTTTCTCCACCTCCTCATCGGGATGTGCCGAGGTTGGTGCGTAAACCTGTATGACCTTCAGCGAATACCGTTTGGCGATTCTGAGTATCAGGTACGCGACCCTCGTCGACACACTACCAATCTTTACAACGTTGTTGACGAGAGACTTGTGGCCGATAAATCCGACACCTCCTTGGGACAGATGGTCGCCCTCCCGGTGGTAGAACAAGTTGCCGGACTCGAGGATTGCCGTATCCTCCCCCTCTCTTCGGACCTTGGATAATCCAATAATATGCCAGCGCAACTTGTCTACCTCTTCTTCCAGCTCCAGTATCTTCTCGTCAGTCCTCAGAGTGCGTGCGTTATATGTTGCCAGGTCGAGTCGTCGTAGGTGGCAACCGAATCTCCACCGAAGATTCTTAGCACCCCCTGCCCCGCCGTTACCATGGTCGCCACCGTAGCCAGGAATAGCGGGGCCGCCGGGGACTGGGGGCCGTTTTTGTGCGTCGTTATTCATGGGGGGATATTTGCCATAGTTGCCACGCTTGGCGAGCGGGTTGGCAACCGCAGTTTTTTGTTATAACACAGTTGTTATCAGAAAGATGATGCTGCCCATCTCCTGCCTGTCTCCCTCTGTCGCCTCTTACGACACCCACGGGAAGATATTAATAATAATAATAATACTTTATTTTCAGACTTTGTCCATAAAGATGTTAGTAGAACAATAAGTACTTAAAAACTAATGTTAGTATTTAACTTTTTTTTTTTTTTTTTTTTTTTTTACACTTAACAAATTAAATATCCTTCTACGTTACAAATATCTTATTTATTCAATTTTATATGTAGGCTCAACCAGTGTTTCATAATGGCAGAATCCCACCTATCAGCAAGTGTATTCAGGATGCTGTTGGTAGAGGTACGTAGTCGATTCATTAATGAAGCGGACCTTTTACGTATTATGGCATGAAAGCCATCCGTGTGTGCCTCGACGAACATGGCAGAGGCACTACAATAACGCGGCAATCCTAACAGCACCCTGAACGCATTATTGTATTGTACACGCAGGACATTGTATGTCCGCTGCTTGTATCTGACCCACAAGTTGCCTGTGTAAAAGCACTGACAATAAGCTTTAAAAAGCGTAACTTTAACTTCTTTAGTACATCGTGCAAACCTGCGGGCCAGCATATTACAGCGAACAGCCAACGCCCTGCGTTCCCTTTCTATATCCAAGTCATCCTCTAAGTCCTCTGTTACCCAGTGGCCTAAGTACTTAAATTTGACGACTCTGTTCAAAGGACTATCACAGAGTTTAACAGTAGGCATGGTGAGCTGCCTTTTAGTGCCTGAATTAAAAACCATGAGCTCGCTCTTCGTTACATTATACTTGAGCCCATGGGTCTTTGCGTAGGATTCACAGATCCCTAGCAGCCTTCTGAGTGCACCTATCGTGGGGCTCAGCAGTACCATGTCATCTGCATAGCTTATGTTATTTATGCAAACTCCGTCTATAGAACAACCGACCTTAGTGCTGCTGAGCTCCACAATCAACTGGTTTATGTATAAGCTGAAAAGCGTAGGCGAACTCAACCCTCCTTGTCTCACCCCGCATTCCAGCCCATACCCCTCAGAAAAGCTGCTACCCCATCGCACATAGTTTATTTGGTTACTATACCAATATTTAAATACGGAGACAATTTCCTGGGGCAAGTCAGTCTCCTCCTGTAACTTTCGCCATAAAATGTCATAAGAGACTAGATCAAAAGCTTTTGATAGATCCAAAAAACAGGCATACACCGGCGTTTTCCTATCTGTGTAGTACCGAACAGTCTGCTTAAGACATAAAATTGCACTCTCTGTGGATAGTCCAGGTCTGAACCCAAATTGAGCATCATGCAGATGAATGTGTTTTCTCAATTTCCTGTCAAGCAGACCGTCCAGCACCTTAGCCACTATGGTGGCTAGTGAGATTGGCCTGTAATTATTTAAATCTGATATATCTCCTGTTCTGTTCTTAATGATAGGCACCACAATTGTCTTCATGAGATCAGTCGGAAGATATTGATGAGCTATACATAAACTTAGAAACATAGCCAACACTCTTGGCAGATGGGCACCAGCATGTACCAGATGTTCAATGCTAAGCCCATCATGCCCTGGTGACTTACCTCTAGTCATAGAATTAATTACTTCAAAAACTTCTTTGGCAGAGATCCTTACACACGATCTACCTGCAAAACGTCCACCATCGATTAAACTCGATGACGGACCCCGCGGTGACTCTACTTTAAAATGCTCTTTAAATAGATTGGCTATGTCTCCAGGCTGGTTGTGACCCTGAATATTAGCGGGAAGGCTCGACTTGGGATTCAGTTTATTCGTAAGATTCCAGAATTCTTTAAATTTCTTTTGCGAATGACTTGATGCGATCTTATCCATTCTTAATTGCTCTGCGTGATTTTGACACCATTTTAACTTTGACTTGAAATTCCGTCTTGTTTCACACATTTTATTATAATAATAACCCGAAGATGGCTTACCGTATAAGACCCACGTTTGAAAGGCAAGTCGAGCCTCCCCCGTGGGCGTCTCTAACGTATTTATTCCACCCCACAACATATTTCCTATTCCTTTTGTTATTACAACTTGCCTGAGCTGATTCTCTAAGAATAGTAACAATATTACCGTACATGTTATCTAAAATTAATTTGTGATTATCATTAATACATATATTATTACAACAATTCATAAACTCCTGTGGAAAATTTACGTCTTTTAATTTAGAGTGACACAATTTTTTATAAGTTTTTATTTGATTATTATTTCTGACACCCCAAATTATTTTATTATTACAGAAATAGCTTACCATATTTTTTGATCTCAATAAGTTAATATTGCACTCGATCAGCAATGGAACATGATCCGACCAGTAGGTATCATACAGCACAGTGACATCTATGACTGAGCGCCTTGCGGCCTCAGTTACAACGCAATGATCCAACCAGCGCCGACAACCGTGCGCATCACTAGTGTAAGTATAGCTGCCCGCTGGGAGGACCTCCAAATCAACACAAATCAACTGCTGATCCGTGCAAAAATTTATCATTTCGTTACAAAATAATGTACCGGGATGAGAATTAAAGTCACCTAACGCAAATACAGAGTCGACATTTTCATTTTCAATAATACCACTTATCTCGCTCATGAACGATGTAAATTCTATTAAATTGTCTACTGAATCCGTTGGCATATAAACCGAGAATATTATGTAAGTTCGTTCACTATGGAACACTTTAATTGCTGTGAGACGCACACTACTACATTCGACCACACTGACACAATCAAACGCATTTTTCCTCCACAAGAGGGCCACACCACCATAGGGTCTGCCTGTGAGTATACCGGACGACGTATCAACCGCTGACTTACCGGTATAGCTGAAGTTTTGATGTATCTCGCCCAGAAACGTTATGTCATCAGGTAGAAGCCATGTCTCCTGTAGCGCTAGCACGTCAGACTTTTCACACAGGTGTCTTACGCATTCCAAAGAGCGTTTAACAGATTTGCAGTTAAAAGTAGTAAATTTTGCCGTACTATACATGAACGATTTTTTTTTTTTTTTTACACATTATCTGAGGTCTCCTGATGTCTGTACTTAAAATGCACAAATCTTCTGAATGAGATGCCGTCCGGCCAAAGACTGTCATTTAAAAAGACAGCAAGTTTTTGTTTGGACACGTATAATTTGAACGCATTATATCCTTTATCTTTTTTCATAGTCACTTTTTCTAGTGTCACTAACTCGTTAGTTTTATTCCTAATATAATCAACGATATCTTTTTCTAGCGTCTCTCTATGTACGTTAGATATAAATAGCGGAATTTTCAAGTCCGCTGATTTAAATTTCTCCTCAGGTTTTATTTCTGCTTTTCCTGTCTTACCTATAAAACGGTTACGCAATCTGCGCTTTTGAACTTTTATCCAGGCCTCTGGCGGTTCTTCATTTTTCCAAGCTTCACCTTTTTTCAATATTTCGGCCATAGTTAGCGAAGACTGAAAATTACCATCACAAGATGTATCTTTTATTGCGTTATTATTGTTAGAGAACTTATTCACTACAATTGTTTTGTCATCATTCATCCTGCTTTTACTCGGTGAGTTCTGCATTGGAATTGGAGTTGTTTTAGCACCTCCTGCGCTGAATGATTGCCGCCCATCCGCACCGTTATAAGCAGTCACGCCTCCAGATGTAAAGAGGTCAGCCTTATGCATATCTGACACAGGTGCGAGTGCATCGACACTATCACGAGCACGACTAGCTACTTGTGCGATAGCTATCTTTTCCGTCTCTGTCTGTACGTCAGTTGTTTGTAACGGTACATCAGCTGTTGATAACTCGTGCGACAAGCCCATCGGCCCACTGTCGCCGAACGTAGTACCCACATCCAACAAGAATGCACTGCACCTTCTACCTACCTTATGATGATGAGCTGGTGATGTGGATGTTTTTAAGAAAGATTTATCTTTCTTTAGCTCTTCTAGGTGCGTCTTGGTTACATAATTATCCTTGATGATCTTAACCTCCTGTTGCAACAGAACTATATCCTTCAGCAGTCGAGTTACATCTACATGATCGAAAGTGACCGGCGGAAGTTTTTGTAGGTCACGAGCAACAAAAATGGGTGCACTATCAGGGTCTGTTTCTTTGAAAAGACTAATGATGTCTTCTAACTCCCTTTGGGATTTCCCATCTGTACGCCGAGTTAATTTTCCATCTCTACGTCTTATATTTTTTCTTTTACCTGAGGGCAATGACTCGAAAAGCAAACTTTTTGCATTAGTAATATCTTCAGCTGTAAAGGCACTACTACAAATTCGGACAATGCTCTCCTCGTCCATCACATCTGCCTTGTTTTGTATAAAGGCAAGCACTTCGCTTATCACAATATTACAATTTGTACATTTTACCACTTTGGACGCCATTGTCTTATCGTACAATGACCTTTCGCTTACGCTCAAAGCGAACACATGTACGCGCTTTGCCGTTCCGCGTGCGACCGATATGGGGTAGTGGATATTCTCAACCGCCACTACACGGCGCTTGCCACTTCCGCTTACTAAGCCCAACGGATTAGTAAGCGGAAGTGGCAATGGGCCGGCCATATAGCTCGAAGAACTGATAACCGATGGGGAAGAAAGGTTCTCGAGTGGCAGCCTCGTACCGGTAGGCGTAGTGTAGGGCGACCCCCCACTAGATGGAGTGACGACCTTGTAAGACATGCAGGAAGTCGATGGATGCAGGTGGCTCAGGACCGTGCTTTGTGGCGTTATTTGGGGGAGGCCTATGTTCAGCAGTGGACTTGTGAAGGGCTGTAATGATGATGATGATGATTAGACGCATTGACATGCGCGACTTCGGTTGATGTTTGTGCTTACGCACTAACAAGAGGCCAAGCCTCTTTTACTGGGTCGCCAGTTATTTTGCTGTGGACTACGGTCCAGTTCCCGAATTAACGTTCCCTTCGGGGGCAGTGCATCAAAATGGTTAGCGCACACCGCGTGCGGCGTGTGTGGAGCCGTGTGCCTCCCCTACATTTTTTAAACTAAATGTAGGAGAGCGAAGCCCTTGTTTCGGGTATTTTTTATAAATATATTGTGAGCCTTTTCCAAGCAGGAAGGGATAAATAATAATAAATTAATAATGTAAACCTGATACAAGTGGAATATGTTTTTTTCGGACATTTTATGTTTTTAACCTTTCTCGAGCCCTGTCTTCGTGAACTACCACTACCAACAGCTTTCAATTACTCTAGTGAATATTCATTCTTCCAAAAGACACCTAAAAGAACTAAGTTACTAAACAAACACAACGTAAATAAGGGTCCTAACCAAGACGATCTCGCCAAAATTTTACAAACGGCCTATTATTATTGTTGCGCGAATAAGTCATTGTATCAGGACAGAGCGGGGGAGCTCTTAATCTAACAAGTTAGTCTCAGAACGAAGAAATAAGCTTCTAGAAGTCGCTACTCGAACTCTCGGCCCCTTGCGCGTGTTTACTTGAATACTCTGGATGTTTCGGTGCTAATTTATATTTATAGGCGCTGCAAGATGCGATCGGGGGAGTATTGAATTTGGCGAGACAAGCGAAGCTTCGGAGCGGAATAAAGTGAATCAGTGTACCGGATTAATTATTAGCGTTTTAAGTTTAATTAGTGTAAAATGAATTAAAGTGTTAATTTAGGTAATTCTATCGGCAATTTTTATTGTCACGAACCTCAAGCTCGTAACAATTGGTGTCAGAAGTGGGATAAAATCATGCCGATTTTACCTAAGGAGGAAACGGAACGTTGCGAGGTGGATTGAACTACTGCAGGAATATGACTTTGAGATCGAACATCGCAGCGGGAAATCTCATGGCAACGCAGATGCATTGTCAAGAAGACCTTGTCCTGAAGATTGCAAACATTGTACTAGGCAAGAGAGTAAGGAAGTGGTATCCGTGAGGATGCTCAGGACAGATCACCTCAGCAACGAGTGGAAGGACAGCTTACGACATGCACAGCAGGAAGATCCGGACATCAAGCCGATTCTGCAATGGATGAAGGCCAGTGCTCCCAAGCTCAAGTGGAGCGACGTCTCAGCGATGAGTTCGACCACTAAAAGCTATTGGGCCCAGTGGGAAAGCTTGCCACTTCAGGATGGAGTTCTGTGCAAATGGGAAAATGTTTAGGGAGACAGCTGTCATTTGCAAATGGTCGTCCTTAAAGCTAGAGTACTGGATGTTCTACAGCTGTACCATAATGATTGTTCAGGAGGCCATCTGGGAGTTAAACGAACTCTACTGAAGATCCGAGAACGGTTTTACTGGGTCCACTGTCGAAACGATGTCGAGGACTGGTGTCGCAAATGTACAAGTTGTGCGGCTGTAAAGGGACCTCACACTCGTAGTAGAGGTGTATTGAAGTTGTACAATGTTGGTGCACCATGGGAGAGAATAGCCATTGACGTGGCGGGGCCGTTTCCGGAGAGTGAAAGCGGTAACAAGTATTTCATGGTTGTGATGGATTACTTCACTAAGTGGCCAGAAGTCTTTGCCATTCCAAATCAAGAAGCTTCAACAGTTGCGAATAAGCTAGTTCATGAAGTCTTCTGTCGTTTTGGAGTACCTTTAGAGATTCACAGCGATCAAGGAAGGAATTTTGAGTCTCAAATATTCCAGGAATCTTGCCGAGTTATGGGTACTCATAAAACAAGAACGACTTCTTATCACTCGCAATCTGATGGAATGGTAGAACGATTTAATCAGACATTGAAGAGGTACCTAGCAAAAGTTGTAGACAATCGGCAACGAGATTGGGACAAGCACATACAACCGTTTTGTTGTCATATCGAAGCGCTGTTCACGAAAATACAGCAGTGACACCAACTTTCGCAAACTTTGGAAGAGAATTACAGCTGCCTGCAGTCCTGATTACCGGGATACCACCTGATGCCCCACGCAGTATAACCGATTATGCAAATGACTTGCGGAACAAAATGAATGACATTTATGAGCACGTCAGATAATCGGGCCAGCAAATCTCTGAGAAGATGAAAACCCGGTACGACAGCAAAATGAACAATAAAGGCTTCGACGAAGGTTCACTAGTGTGGTTGCACAATCCAGTCCGCAGCAAAGGTAAATCTCCTAAGCTTCAAGCTAAATGGGACGGCCCGTACCGGATTGTAACCAGGATCAACGATGTAACCTACCGGATACAGAAAGGCGCAAGAGAGACTCCTAAAATCTTCCATGTGGATCGCTTGGCGCGTTATTATGAGGCCGATAATACTCGGGACGAGCATGTCTTAGGAGGGGGCAGTGTTACGCGAATAAGTCGACGTCATGTATCCGGCACTAGCGCCATCTAGTATCAGGGACGAGAGCGAGGCGAGCTTTCCAGAAAATGACATCACTAATCTTTCAACCGACAGCGCCATCTAGTCTCGGAATGAAGAACTAAGCTTCTAGAAGTCAACACTCGAACTCTCGGCCTCTTGCGCGTGTTGAATATTCTGGATGTTTCGGTGCTAATTTGTATTTATAGGCGCTGCAAGATGCGATCGGGGAAGTATTGAATTTGGCGAGACAAGCGAAGCTTCGGAGCGGAATAAAGTGAATCAGTGTACCGGATTAATTATTAGTGTTTTAAGTTTAATTAGTGTAAAGTGAATTAAAGTGTTAATTTAGGTAATTCTAGGAACCTCAAGCTCGTAACATAATAATAATAATATTTTTTTTATTTCAGATAATTAAAATCTATATGTGGGTTAGTAACACAATAATAATAACAACAATTATAATAACAGGGGTTAGTAAAAAAAACAATGGTTTGCTTAACATCTAGGGAAATAAAATAAATACACTGTGCCGAGACAGATCATCATGGAGGTGGATAGGGCCCAGTTATCAGTCTCTGCACAAGACATTTCCACAGCGGCGATGTATATCTGTCTGCTACGGTCCTCAGAATGCTGTTGTGACTGGCTCGTACCCTGCTAATAAAGGATGCGTTTTTTTGCGTATGATGGCATTAAAACCGTCTGTTTGGTATGCCGCAAACATCCCCGATGCACTACAAAAACGAGGCAGTCCCAACAGCATCCTGAATATATTATTATATTAAATGCGCAGGGCTTCAAGCGATCTTTTTTTTTTTTATAGGATAGGGTGACAATCGAGCACACAGTCCACCTGATGGTAAGTGGTTGCTGTGGCCCATAGACATCTACATCTATCCTCGATTACGAATCAAAATGCTGATGTGTTGTCACCCGTGAGGACCAAGATGGAATGCCTCGTTTCCAGTAAAATGGGTCGCCGGTTCTCTACACTCACCATACGAAATACAGCAGCATTAAGCTACTATTTCACGCTGGTATTCTGTGAGAGCGTGGTCCTTCCCCGGTCGAGCCGACCAATTCGTGCTACATCTAATATAACTGCAGCATGGCTCTACCACGTATAAAAAAATCTTTTGGTCTTTTCAATCTTTTGGTGTAATTGACCCACAGGCTGCCTGTGTATACGCTCTGGCAGTATGCTTTAAAAAGCGTAATCTTAACTTGTTTTGTACAACGGGAAAACCTGCGAGCCAACATATTACCTCTAACCGCTAGAGCCCTGCGCTCCCTTTCGATGTCAGCATCACCCTTGAGGTCACCAGTAATAATATGCCCCAGATATTTAAATTTATTGACTCGTGTCACGTTCATGCCATTAAGGGTAACATTAGCTGCAATATTGTGACATTTACCAGCGGCCTCAAAGACCATGTACTCTGTTTTATTGACATTGTATGTGAGCCCACGCTCAGTAGCAGACTTCTCACATACCTTAACATTTCACTTAGGCCTCCCACCGTTGGGCTGAGCAGCACCATATCGTCAGCGTAACTTATATTATTAAT